TTATGCAGTACTATCTACAGTATGTTAAAAAAAAGATTCAACTTAAACAATAAGTCTAATGTGTTAAGTGATGAATAGAGAGGATGAGTACCCATCATCTTCCACGGCCCGTATGTTATTTATTTATTATTTGTATATTTATTTATTATTATGTATTTATTTTCTCGCCTGTTCTCTGTCAAATGTTGTCAATAGGCAATACATTCTCACTTCATGCACAAGTGGAAGGTAAATTTCTGTGGCAAATCCGTCTTTGAATGGTATGAAAGGTCTTTTATGTAACGCGAGATATAAAACTTATAAATATACTATGACACCCGTTATTCTTCGCAGTCTGGCTTAACTCAATAACTGTCTTTGAAACTAATGTAATCGGAGCACTTCTACATATTCGACAAATTTCCGAAGCAAGGATATTGAGTAAAATATATCTTGTTATATTAGATATATGGTCAATGGTGTAGTTCCTCTTTTGCATCGCACGAAGTATTATATGTCTTTCACAATTTGCAAACTCCGTCATGTCATTAGACAAATGTAAAATATCATCTTATATCTGTACGTATGATTATATCTTCTAACTCTAATCCTATCTGCGTATTAATTGAATTTCTTATAAAATCATATTCCATGAATGCTAAAGTCATGTCCGCCATTATGGACTGCATGATGTCGTTTGTGGTATTCCCTTATTTTTTTCTATATTGAGCTCCCAAAGCATAGTAACATGCGTCCATTATTGAATCTATAATATAATTTGCATCCTCTATTTGAAATGCCGACCTTGTGTTGTGTTGCTATTAGTGTAAACATCAACGAAAAAGCTCTACAATAAGAGAGGTCTAGAATGATGATGTTAAGTCCCCTGCTAAGTTTACAATAGCATTTTAAAGCTAAAGAAATATTTCATGTTTCATTAATCGATGCCAGGCGTACGGGTTTGGTATGTATATGACGCAGAAAGTCTGTATAGTATTATGTTTGTAGGATGTACGTATTTTCTGAATAGGAATTTTTGATGAGGCCTAAACTCTGTACACGTACATTTACGCCTGCGAGTAACGTAGGCTAGTTTATGCATTAGTTAGTCGTCTGACAGCGTTCATTAATATTTTTGTTCAAATTACGTCATTTTCAAAAATGACGTGATTCAATCATAATCTGTAAACACATATAGTATCTAAAGGGAATTACGTTGAAGCGGAGCAATTGCTCATATGGGTTGGCAGTAGGGTCACGGTTAGCGATAATTGTGGTGCAAAAACTGCCAAATTGAGCGCACTAGTACTCTCGTTCGCATCTGAAGGTAGGAAAAAGCAGTCAGTTGAAGTGTTACGTTGGTACTAGTATAGCTGTTTCGGGTAACTACAAGAAAAGTTGTATGCTCACGTACCTTACACCGGGGAGAGAGCCGGGAAAGGGCTCAACGACTTTACTTCTACTTTATCTCTCAGGTGTTTATTAATCATTTTCTCGGTTAAGCAATAGTTTTTAACTTTGAATGTTGCTCAATAATCTTGCATTACATGCGTCCAGACATAAGATGCGGGCAAGAGGTAAGCAAGACGCAATACAGTAAAATTGGATATAGGCGTTAATAAGGCCATAAAGCCCATAAAAATGCAAAGAAGGGTTGGAAATCCAGCTTGCTCTTCGGAGACCTGCCGCCGAGGTCTGACTTGGGCAATGTTTTTAAGAGATGCTAGCTCCAATTTCTCCCTTCTAACG